GGGGCTGGGAGCTCATGTATGTACCGGCTCACTCCTGTTGGCGGCTTGGCGGGGCCTGGTGCCTGTGGCCCGGCTGGGCCCCTTCTGGGGGTGGGGCACCCTCAGGCCTCTGGCCTCTGGGCCTGGGGCTCGGTCCTCTCTGGCACAGCTGGCTGCCAGGCTGCCATGCTTGCTTCTTTTTCCCCCCATTTGTATTTCAAATGCCTAAACACCGTTTTTTTTTTTTACCAAACACATTTCCAGTTTTCCAGTTTCCAGTTTTTTGTGTGTTTCCACACTGGCTGCCAGCAGAGCCCACGGACATGTCACTGCAACCCCCTCTGGCCTCTGCTCCGTGGCTGCTGGGTGACCCCTCGTCTGGGGCTTTCCTCAGCTCTTCCCAGGAGGGTGGCACAGTTGCCCCTTTGGTGGTCCTCCTTGGGTCCTCATACTCTGGGACCCAGATGTCTGGATGTCTGGGGTCTGGACCTCCTCCATACCTGCTTCATGTCCTGGGGGACGGGGCTATGGCTCCCCACACTCCCTAGCAGATCGTTACATGGAGAAACCTTTTGAATACAAGCGTGCTGATCCAAACAGGTATGCACACAGGTGTTCACAGACACAAACTACACCTTTCTTGGCAAAGCACATTGTGCGCTCTCTATCTTGCGTGGTGCACAATAACATTTAATATTTAGTATCTATTGTTAAAAACAGGGCATAATGACTGGATTTCTTCCTGTAGTGTTGAAAAGGACACTAGTTTGTTTTACAATCACTTATATCATAGTGATACACATGTGAGGACATGGCAGGCCTCTAGCACAAGTGTCAAATGCAGTGTATTAGCACCAGGAGCTAAAGAAAAATCTTGATAAATTATGCACTTTTCAGGAAACTAGGATATCGGGAAACTATAGAATAGATTAGAATAGAATAAACCTTTATTATCCCATGAATGAGAAATTTGGGTGTTACACAGCTCTTATAGCAAGAGGAATATAGACATAAAGTGGTCCTATAAACATAAGCAACCGAAGTTCTTATGCCTAAATAAAATTGTACAGAGATATGTATAAAATTTATATTCATAAAGTTATATTCATATTTACCAGTTACTTTACACAGCAATCTTACTTCACCACCATCTGCAGCTTTACCCAAAGCAAACACAAGCTCTTATAGCAAACATGAAGTTAACATAGAGTGGTGTGCACATGTCAAAATCTTGGCAGAGTACCCACTCTCTTTTACAGTGCTGCCACCTTGTGAGCAAAGTCTAAAACTTCAGGTGAACTTCTACAGTACACTTGAAATGTACATTAAAACATCAAATTCAGTTCAGATCAAGTACATTTTCAGGGTAAACAACAATACAACACAAAGCTCTGTTTATCAGTAATGTCATTACCACAAATTATATACATTTATGTATCAGAGTACAGGACTGGTTTATGTGTGGTTTATCCCCAACTCCCATTCAGGCCATCTTTGATCCCTACTGCAACTCCCAGAAGTGTAACAGTGTCATCATACTTCTAAAGCTGTCCTCCTCAGCACAGGTATACTGTGCTTCATCTGTTTGTCTACTCTTATCCAACAGCAGCATCCACTGAACCAAATGTGTGGTCACTGGCTGGAGCTGGACTGAACAAACCTGTGACTTTATTTCCAAAGTTAAATTTGCATAAATATTTGCACAGTTTTGCCTACACAAATGTAAAAAAAACAACAACCCCAAAACCAAAAAACCAACACTTCTACATAACCAGAATATCTCCCAGAGAAAAATGGGAGGGGGGGCATCATTTTCCATTAGACTCATTAATTGTGCGTCCTAGCAAGCCCTCGCTATGTAAAACAAACTGATGCACCCCTGCTCAGTCCTGACCCATCATCAGTGTGTCCTACCTGCAACACTGGATTAACCACACTATTGCTTATACCATGCAATGTGCAAACAAATACAAAATCTCCAACACATGCATGCAAGAAGGAATACTGTGCTTTATGGCACAGCTAAGGAGGAGCCTAACAAAAACACATGGTTACATATTTACCATCTCTCAATGTATGTTATATGTATGATAAACAGCACACTAAAAACACCATAAACAGCTGTCTTGGTTTGTTGTTTTTCATATCCAGTGTCTGTGAGGATTTTTGAAAGTGGGCAAAGTGCACCAGACTGTGCTGAAGCTTTGGGTTATAATTATTGATTTCTTGACTACAACAATCAATGTGACAAATAATGTGATTAAAAAAAAAAAAAACTTTTAGGTTTTTAGCTGATAATTTTTTTAATTTGCAAATGTAACTTTTCATCCTCAAGCTTTTTAAATCATGTTTATTAGTACTGGAATCCACTACACTGCCTTTATACAGATTTTAACCTGTGAATAAAACATGCTGATTAAGTGCCCCTTGAGCTCACTGCAAGACCCCTCCCATGCAGCTGAGCCTGATGCTTTTCCCAGCAATTGGTAGGTCACCAGGTAATTTTGCCTAGCCCTAAAAAAAATTATAATTGTCTTTGAGTTTCTATCCTAGGGCTGCCTCAAGGGGGGGTCCGGGTTTCCCATTTCAAGTGACGTTACACAACTCCAATTTTCCATTTCATCATTTTAGTATGGTCACTGCTGGGACCAATTTGCAATTGGAACTCATACCAAAGCCTGTTGCCCCAGGGAAATACAGCTCCTGTGGCTTACAACTAATGTGCAAACGAATCTGTAGCATCTGTACTACATCACAGCTAACGGGGATCCTAACATTGAAACAAAAATGCACAATTACCTTTGGGTTACTTTTGTCAAATGTGTTCATCTGAAGAACGCATTCTTCAGAACAACATGCATTCTGGTAATGCTGTACTTTAAAGTTTGTTAGCTCTGAAGTACCTGCCATCAGGCAAGGCAGTAAAATGCTGCCCTTGAGGATCTGCCTGGGGCTACAGACAGCTGTCAGGTCCTGGGGGACTGTCATTGCTGTGCTTTAAAGTTTGTCAGCCCTCAAGGACCTGTCAGTGGTCTGGTGCCCCAAGCATTTGCCTGCCTCGCCTGATGGTGAGCAGTGTGTCTGATGGCAGCCTCTAGCCCACACATCAAATACAGGCTATTAACATCAACAGCTCAAAGAGAAGAGTAATCAAGACAAGCATCATCTTGTTATAATATGGAATGGTAACTTTAAATTGTGTACATGAGCAAATTTCAGCAAATTACATACACATTTAGTAACTACTACACAGCAACCATCCTCATTCTCCATTAATCTCTAGTTTGACACAAAGCAAACAAAGCAAACACAAACCCAACCTACAACAAAGGTAAAACTAAAACAAAACCTGTCAACATCTTCGTGGAGCAATCACTGCCTTTTACAATTTTGCCACCTTCTGGTCAAAGTCCATAACTTCAGGTGAACCCCTACAGCACTCTGGAAATGTACCTCACAACAATCAATTCACTGCCAACCTTAAAGCGAACAGAATAAATCTTTCACATTACTCAGAAATTAAACTACAGAATTATGTGTTTGCCCTCTGGATGCTTATGCATCTTCTTTATTGCAGGATGGCAGTTGATACAGACTATTGTAAGTCACTTATAGTGTCCCATAACAATACACCTTCTTTGTTTTCTTCAGTCCACTGTGGGATCCTGGAAGAATATGATCACCCCTACAATGAAGAGTCAATTCAGATAAAGTATATTTTCAGGTTTAGCAACAACACCAGACGAATTAAAGCTCTCTTAAAATGCAAGCCCTTGTCTGAATGTATTTACTACCCACCAGCTACTTGTCCACCTTCTTTATTGCAGAATGGGAGTATTTTATGTACGGTTTATTACCACATCTTTATTCATGCCATGACTGTGTGTCACTTGTTTGCCTGCTGTCGTCTATCAGTATTTTCTCTGGTATTTCCTCATCAGTGGATGAGGCTAGACTAAACTGCAGGTACATTTACATGAACATTTGCACAGTTTTGCTTACACAAATGAAATGCTAAAAATAATCATAATAAAATAAATAAATGTAAAAAAAACATAATATGCCATCAGACTCTTCCCACTTCATTCTTGGTCCTGTGACTGAATTTTCTGTTAATAAAGTCTGCAACATGATCAGCTGTGGCCAAGCTTTTTGAATTATTGCATGCAGGAGAGCTGACACAAATCAAACATCACAGTTCTACAGTCGCGACAGCTCTGTCTTTGGGACATTGCAGCTCGTCTTTTATACCTTCACACACACAACTCCTGTACCTTAGAGTTTCTTTCCCACCCGCGTTGCTGCTGGGCAGAGAGCCACTCCCACTATCTTTCTCCAAGAAGCACCTGGCGCTGGCCTCCCTGGGAATTTTCATATAGTCAGCAGATAACATAGTTGAGCATGCTACACCATGTCATATTGACCTTCAAATAAAGGCTATGCAAAACTCTATGGTGAATTTCAAACCACCTAAATCCAAATGTTAGAATAAACTAGAATTTTTTTTCATCACAGTCCCAGCAAGCCAATCCATGCTGATTCATAAGTGAGTCCTACCTGCAAAACTGGATAAACGAAACTATTGCTTATCACTAATGTGCAAACACATGTAAAATCTGCAGCAAATGCATGCAAGAAGGATTACTCGACTTTAGAGCACAGCTAATAGGGATCCTATAAAAGACAAAAACACATGATTACAAGTTTCACACCTTCCACAGAGCATTGATATTTCACCTGATGCTTCTATCTGTTTGATATCTTGTGTTGAAATCCTCAAAGAGTTACTAAATGAAAATGTAACATAGACACAATGCACTGCAATAAATGCTACTCTTTTAAGGTTTGTCCAACCTTTTTAGAGTAATTAGAAAAATGGGTAGAGGTGTGGTGGAGAAACATAAAGGTGTTTCTGTTCTCTGGTGCATAATCTGAGGGGGAGGAGTAACAAGAGCAAATAAAAGCAGCAAAAGATCAAGTTCAACATTGAATAAACACAGACTCTCTCAGCTAAAAGGAACATGGGGAATGGTGAGATCGTTTAAACACATATTAGCATTTCTCTTAAATGTCATCAGGTGAAAGGTGATATGATTTCACAAACTTTTTTGTTTTGTTTTTAGGTAACATCAGTTCAGCTGCATATCAATCCTCTGGGCTGGAAGCAGCTTCCAGACACATACAAACAGTCTCTATTGTCATCTACTGTGTGATATTTATAGTTGGCACTCTGGGCAATGGTTTGGTTATCTACGTGACAGGCTTCAAAATGCAGAAAACAGTGGAGACAGTTTGGTTTCTCAACCTGGCCATAGCTGACTTTCTCTTCACAGCCTTCCTGATTTTCTCGATCATTTCTCTCTCTCAGAGTCACCGATGGCCTTTTGGACAATTCATGTGCAAGCTCAACACCTTTGTGAGTGTAGTCAACATGTTTGCCAGCATCTTTACTCTGATGGTGATGAGTTTGGATCGTTATTTGTCCATCTGGATGGTGGTGTGGGCCCACAACAAGCGCACAGTCTGCAAAGCTCAGCTCATATGTGTTGGTATCTGGGTGATTGCTGCGGTCTGCAGCACTCCTTATGCCACTTTTCGCACTGTTTCAGAAAGCAATGGGAGTCATTATTGTCACTATAATTTTACAAGCAAGGAATCAACATGGAGTCTATATACTTTTCGCTTTCTTATGGGCTTTGTGATTCCATTCCTGGTAATACTTGTGACTTATGTAGCCATAGGCATCCGTGCAATGCGCATGCCGAGAACAAGGCGACAGAGATCCTGTCGAATCATTTTCGCCATCATTTTTACATTCTTCATCTGCTGGTTACCCTTCCACGTTTTCAACTTCATAGAACCAGCTTCAACTAACCCAGATCTCAGGAACATTGTTAGAATCATGGGTCCTCTGACTGTGAGTCTGGCTTTTCTGAACAGCTGCCTGAACCCCATCCTCTATGTTTTCATGTGTGAAGAATTCACGAAGAAGCTTCGGCAGTCCATATGTTTTGTACTTGAGAGTGCTCTGGCAGAGGACCACATATCATTTATGTCCACTCACTCCATGTCATTAACTTTGTTAAAGACTTTCCAAAAGTCAGACGCTGCAGCAACTTCAAATAGGATGGACACGGCTGATTTGAAATCCGTCACAGAAAGCAAAGTGATCACAGAGGAGACACCGAACACTGAATAAGATTTCAACATCAGCCAATGTAAACTGAAATACATTATTTCATATCAAACTGAGTTAAATCGTGCACTCATGCACAGAACTGTGTTAATACGTTACTTCATGTTAAAGCACAGATTTACTTTTAACTGCTCTTACTATTGCAGGGAGTACTCTCACCGTACTCTCTTCAAGTGTAAGAAAGAAAAGTTACTACTTCTCTGATCAATCTTAGTACCAGAAAAACTATGTGGAAGTGCTGCAGCTTTGGGTTGTAATTATTAATTTATTGGTTAAAAAACCAATGTGACTTTTATGTGAATTTTTTTAGACTTTCAAGATTACATTTAATAAGTTTTCTATTTGTGTACATAACTTTTTCATGTTTGAGCTTATTAGGCCATGTTTATTAGTATCAGCATCCATTTCCAGTGTTGGGAAGGTTACTTTTAAAAATTTATTAAACTATTGATTACAGAATACATGCCCCAGAATGTAATTTGTAACGCATTCTGTTAAGTTACTCAATGAGAGTATAACGCATCCTGAATATTTTGTATTGTTTAATACATTATTATGCTTTTTACAACTGAATGTACTATTGCTGTGTGATTTATTAATATTACTGAAGGCTACTCGTCATACCAATACCAACTAGATTTTTAAACAATATAATATGAGTAACAGATTAATTTATATAATTAATTAATATAAAATGAGCAACAGTAAAACTATTTCTGTATCAGTATGTTTTCTTTTTGTCTGCTTTCAGAACTGCACGTGCTTATTTGCAGCTACTAGGTTGTTAAAGTTATCCATCAAGTCTAACAGTCTGCAGTCTATTATGAACTAACCTCAGCTAAAGCCAACTAATAATGTTAGCTCAGTGCCGAGTAGCCTTCAGTAATAGTAATAAATCACACAGCAATACTACATCGAAGATACTGAGGTGGCTCATAACCAGGTGGCTACCACAACTAAAACAAGGTAGTTGCAGTAATCTAATGTTAGTTTTGTTTTTGTTTTTTTAAAGAACTTGGTTCCAGATGTGTCTTTAAGTTGGAGTCTTTTGACCCTGAGAGCAGCTTGGTTGCTGGCAAACACAGTTTGCATTGAACAGTCAGATTTCGCCCATCCCTTTCTTCCTTAAATGTGACATTGTGTCGGAATTTCCAAGTAGAGAATGTATTCCTGCCCGTGCACTGCTGGCTTTGTTGTGCTGGCTCCGGGTCAATTGTGTTACGGACTCCGGCAACATTAACAGGACGCTTACATTAGAGCATCTTATTGCGTGTTTGTTTGGGTTTCTAACAAAGCGTGGAATTACCAAAATTAAAGAGGGGATAGGCTAACATATGAAACAAGAAAAGACCGCTGTGTAATCAATTTATTTCAACAAAGTAACTGTATTCTAATTATAATCTTATAATCTTTTTAAACAGTAACTGTAGCAGAATACAGTTACTCATATTTTTTTATTTAAATATGTAACATTGGTACATGTATTCTGTTACTTCCCAACACTTTCCATTAAACTGTAATAATAGATTTATTAACACTTATTGCACTTTTTTAACACTGTAAATAAAAAGATACTCGTCAGTTTCATTACCACTCTAAGACTAAAAGATAAAAAACATTGAAATGTTTTTGCTAAAAAAAGAGTTTTAAAGAGCATTTGCCTAACAAGAGAATCAATACTGAACTGTAACACACAGAGGCAGGGTACACCGTTGGTATATGGCCAGTCTTTCACAGGGCTAACACAAACCATTTGCACTCACATTCACACCTATGGGCAATTTAGAGCCACCAATTAACATAACCCTACTAACTGCATGTATTTTTACTGTGGGATGAACTTCATCGCTCTCTTGATTGCTTCCTTTAGCATGGGATACACTGGACCATCCTTTAAGAAAGGAGAAGAATGTGTACAATATAATCCACAAGATAAACTAAGCTTGACAAATGTGTGCAGTGATGTGTGTGTAACTTTTGAAGACTCCCAAGCACATGATCCAGTCCACACACAAATATGAATAAATATATAATCCTTGTAGAACACCTGGTAGAACAGAACTTAGCGTGGAAGAAGTAGTTGATAAAGATGGAAAAGAAATTTAAAAGTGAAAAGGTATCGGTAAAAATGCAAACAAGAAAACAAAATTAAAAGTAGATGAAGAAAAATGTGTCCAATTATGCGAAGTTAGCTGCTCGGGATGCACCAACAACAGTAGTACTAGAAGCCCTCACTGTCTTTTCATCAATCTAATTGAAATTGGAAAATTTTCATTTTAATCTATCAGAATCAGAGTACTTTATTAATCCCAGAGGAATCACTGGTCACAGTTGCTCCAAGTCAGTAAGAACAGTAACTAAAGTAAATTAAATAACACACTATATTACAAAGTTACAAAATACAATCATGATGGGCTGCCTAGACCAAAAATGCCCCAGCCCCGAATAGACCAATGTGCACATTCTAACTACTGTATTTCACAATGCTGCCACCTTGTGACCAAAGTCACAAGTGATCTCAAGAACCGACAATGCACAGAGCCTTTAGCATCCCGAGAGGAATCTCAATCCAAACCTTGCACCTTGCCACTGGGGAGCTTCTCAGCAACCTCTGCCCTCTTCATAGAGGATATCTTGATTGGGAATTGGAGTTCCTCAAAGTTATCTTTCCACAGTCTTTGTCAGCAACTGTCCTTACTGACCATACATGACCTGAATAAAGCCCTTTTTTTCTTGTGGTATTAACCCAACAGTTTGTCAGAATCTCCTTGAGGTAAGCTGAAAGTCCTCCTGACCTATTCACACAAGTTTTTACTTCTGTTAATTCAGAAACCACAGCCCTTTTGGCCCTTCACTACCCATCTGCTGCTTCAGAAGATCCAAGGGTCAACCAGGCCTAGAAATCCTCCTTTACCCTGACCAGTGTAAACCACTAGTACCTAGCAGTACATCTCATCCTTAGGTTGCCACAACAGGCACCAATAACTTTATAAATACAACCTCTGCTTGCTGGCTCTGCAATAGAGGTCTTAAACATGGAGTGAAAAACCCTATGGACTGGGGCATCTGCCAGACACTCCTAAATTTTCCCATTTAGGTTTTCCAGGTCTGCCCAGACAGCCTTCACCATCATGTAATCCAGGTCACCATTGCTAGTCACATTACCCAAGTATCCACAAGACAAGGCCTCAGATGACAGAACTATAAAGTCAATCATTGACCTTTGGCCTAAAGGGGCACTGACACCAAGCACACTTATAAGCAACCTTGTGCTTGAACCTGGTTAACTGGTTAACACATAATAATAAAGCACCACACTGATTCAGAACAAACACGCTATTCTTCCCATTCACCCCTCTCAGGTGTCCCTGTAATTGTGCTTGTGAGTGCCAAAGTCTTGCAAAAGAACTGTAGCTGGCAAGATATTCTGAACTATAGATGTGATATTATTTGTCCTTAAAAGTAAAAATTAAAAAATAATGAATTGGCAGGTGTAAATAGGCTATTTGCAGAAGATGAACAGTCATGTCTTTAAAAAACTGGTGGAAAACATCGAGCAGGACACAGGACACCTGACACAGGACCTGAGAGATGTATTGGACCCTTCAGTTGATCCATCTACTGTTCACTGAAACTTCATCAGAAATGGTCTCAGTGTAAGTGTAGCTGTCAGAAGCCGTCCTTAAGGAAGGGAAGTAGGGATAAAAGGCAGAGGTATGCCAAATTAGACAAGAACTAGACTGAAAAGCAACAACAGTGACAACAGGTCTTACGAAGTAAAGAATCCAAATTTGAACATTTTATGTTCAAATGGTCGTCAATATTCATGGACGGGGGCCTAGAGTCTCACAACTGTGTTTCTAGCCACTCAGCATAGAAAACACAGTGGAGGCCCCGCCATGGCTTGGTGCTGCATTACCACCAGTAGCCGTGACGATCTTGTCAAAACTGAAACATGAACGCAGAAATCTGCCATGAAATTTTGATCCGCCTTGCAATATCACCTGGAAAGCATGCAATTCTCATAGCGTTATTTTTCAGCATGATAAAAGTATCAGTAAAAGCATACCTGGATAGAAAAAAAACTGTTGGCACTGGAACTCAGATCTCAGCAATATTGAAGCAATGTGGGATCATCTTGACAGTGAACAGATGAAAAAGACAGCTAACATCCCAAGTAGAGCTTTGAATGTTCTTCAAGAAGCCTGGAGAACTACACCTGGAGACTACTTAAAGAAATGACAAGAAAGCTTGCCTAAGAGAGTCCAAAATATAAAGTTTATGAAAAGTGGCTCAAGAATTTTGCACAGTTGTGTATTTTACTCTATACAAAATGACATGCAAATTTTAAGACATAAGCAGGTTTTGGTACTTCATCAATGACTATTATAAGTGTGACATGAATACAAATGAAAGAATGAGTCATGATATATACCTCATTACCTGCAGGATGCTCGTTAACACATGCCAAGATTAAAGAAGTAAAACTAAAAGTGGAAGAGATTTATATTAAAGCACTTTAATACACATTTCATTAATCTTGAGATTTTACAAGTCATTGTGTCTGGAAAGTACTACTGATGAAACAGATGTATACACTAGATTTTTACAAATTAATAAAAAAAAAAATGTACACGCTTTTCTATGAGTCAGACTGTGTAGAAACAGGTGTATTCAAGCACTGACTGCTTCTTTCCAACAAAGTCCTCTCTGTACTGGAGAGCTACAGAGTAGCCAGTCAGTGATCATAGAGCTCCTTCATTTCCTTAAGGACCTTTATGCTCTCACTGTATCTTAATTGATTCTTGTTGGAGCACTCCTTCCATCTATGGAAAAAAAGAAAAGAAAAAAGAAATAGTTCAATTGTGCACCTTTTACCTTTTCCTTGAAATAAACTGAAATTATATTATTTTCCTTCTTAAAAGATTCATAAAAACTTTCATACATGATGCTTGCTACATAACAAAATCTGATTTTGAACATTTCTAACTGAAAATTCATACAGTTTTCATCCAGCAATAACAATATTAGAAGGAGGAGGAATGGTAGTTCAGAGGTGGGCTAAATGTTCAATTTTTATGAGCCAGCCTTTTGAAGGAATTTTAATACAACTGCTCAACTGTGATCGCTCCTTTTGTCCAGCTGTTTCCAAATGAAACAGGCACATACTAAATTTTACTGTTTAGTCTCCCTTCTTAATTCAATAAAGTTATTAAACAGCAGGTGGCACTCATGGAGGATCAAACTTTGCAAAGCTATATTTTGGGTCCCATGACAAAGACTACTTCATACCCACAAGACAACAGCTCGTCAATCACCAAAGACACTGAACAGAGTAAACACTGGCAGATGAACTTTAAGTCTGAGCATTATTGAAGGTCATATTTTTACATTTCAATATCCATGGCTCAGTCTATTGTAAAACCTGTGCCCTTGTTTTATCTTTTCTTTCTTTCTTTTGACTTTCTAGAGTCACTGAACATGCTGACTGGCTGGCTTTGCACAAGCTGTGAAATCAAACTGTGAAAGGTGCAATGACTAACTTCACAAATCCACCTGTTTGAGCCCAAATATGATCAGATAACATATAGGTGTCTTTCAGGAATACTTCAAATCCTTTATATTAAAAAATGCATAGAATAACTACACTGTCTGTTATTGACAAATGTTGTTTTTGTGAGGCAGTTTTACTTCACAGGCACATTGGTTGTACCACAGTACCACACACAGCTCTATGCTGAGCTGACACCTTGACATAACAAGGAAAAATAGTTTTTTGTTTTAAAAAAATGCTATTTATGTTTATGTTTAGACGATTAAATATTAATTTATTATTTTAAACATGTATTACATAATCTATTAATCTTATAATTTGGATTTCCACAGTTAGTCAAAACAGCTCATAGCCTCATTTATTCATTTCTTTGTTAGCTCTATTCAGCCTGTTGCTGTCCTCTTGTGGTAAATCACACTGTAAAAACTTTTCATTATCTATTAAAAGATTTGACGTTTGCCTTCACTCATTTGTACCTGATCATTAGTGTTACACCCCTTTCTCCCTAAAGAGTTGGTGAAATTAATAACATCTGAATAAGTACGTCCAGAGGTGAAGCCTTGAACAAAGTTAGTTGTTTACAGTGTGTGACTAAATCATTTCAAACCAAGAACATATTATTTTTTGTCATAAATGACTTTTCAAGAAAAACATACTTTTGCCTTATCTTTTTCCAACGTTCCATGTGGTCACATATGAGAGAACCTGACACAGCAACATCTGTCAACTGTGAAAAGAGAGGTAGTTAAAATTCATGGTCTTACTACCTGAAGACCTTCATGTATGAACAGATCTGTAAAATTAAACAAATCACAATGCAATAATAACTTTGGTGAAAGGCATTTTATACAAGAACCTTGGTAACAGTTGGTTTTTCAGTAGGCGGGATCCTGAGATTGATGGGTTCACCAGAGGAGTTGACTGGACAGGCGGTCGGAGGAGGAAGTCGGTACACATTCTGACCTTTACCGTTGATTGTGTCTGTAACCTAGGGCAAAAAAAAATTGACTAAAACAAAAGTACGAGTACACAATCAGATTCAATCAGGTTTCAAATACATTTTATGCACCATTTCCTCTCACAAACAACCTCACTCAAAAATATTGTCACTGTAGGGATCGTCCATTAAAAACAGTTTCATTATGTCTTATTCAGATAACGTTGATTGAAACATGTGTAACAAGTCAGTTACATTTGCACTAGGGAAAACAAAAGGAGACAATAGTTTGGCACACAGCGTACTGTAGTTACTTTGAAAACAATTAATTTAATTACATTAGACCTTGTGAAATATTAATAATAATCAAATTATGAGACTGCAAAAGAGATAAGACCCTTTAATAGTAGATGTGGCATGACCTGTGCTAACCGCTAACTAGAGCGAAGGACCCCAAATATGTGTTGCACTGGTTACTGCGCCCTGATTGTGTGTCATCTTTTGCTCTACATACACTAGATGCGTCTGCTCCTTTTCATTTCAAAACATGTATGTCTCTGACTTGTCTCTGACATATCGTCAGAACAAGCTTTGTAACTCTCCTACTAGTGAAGAGTGTGTCGTTTCCTCAACACTGCTTTCCTCTTAGGCTCCCAGAGTCGTTGAAATTAATTACTTACTCAAAGGCTCTATAGATCACTATATATGCACATAAACCTGTGCCAAAAAATTCACAGAACTCAGATACGCACAGAATGTTTCCCTTCATTATTTGGTTAAACTTAGAGCAGCTGTAGGCATCGTTTCTATTGGTCACGTGAAGGTAAGTCACAACACGCAGTGGTCAAAGTCCAACTTGTTTGAACTTTGATCGCTGCATGCATGAGTACCCCTCGCTGGCACGCTTGGGCTGTGCTTTGCTCAGAGCTTTGGTTGGCACAGCGGTACAACGTTAATGTGTGGCGCAAGCAATAGAAATGAATGGGGTTAAGAGCACAGAGCTGCGCGTGCCACATCCTATGAGAAAGGGCCCTTACACTCTACCCTGCAAAGTTCCACATTAGCAAAATTTAAAAGACCTCATTTTATGTTACCGTAGATGTAAGAGATAAGTTTAAATTTAAATCAATGTGCCCCTGTGTTTTTTTGTGCATTTGTTGGTTGCACATTTGAATAAAACCTCCAGCATCTTATCCATTTATGACCCCACCTCTTCCTCTACCATGCCCTGTGGGGAGCTGGGGGAAGCAGCTGGTTCTCGAACGGAAGGATTATTCCTCATCCATGCACGGCAGATAGGATACAGTGGGGTGGCGGTGTTGAACTGAGCCAGATCTACACTGCGGTCAAACAACTTAATAACGTAAGCATCTAGTAAAGGCAGAACAAGAGAAAAATTAATTAAAGGTAAGAAAATGGTCACAAGTGCAACAGACAAGATGGTTACACAGTAACCAAGGTACATCAAAAAAAAATTCCAATCATTTTTCATTCATTTACTTTGCTTATGCTGATTGCTTTCTGGAATGCTCTCATCCATCTCTTTTCGCTTCTTTCTCCGGTGCTGTGGAAATCGAGCCGACGGTCTGCAAAAGAAATGTTTTTTTAAGAAATATATTTTTGGAGCTTAAAAGAGATTCAAAGTAATTTCTCATACAATTTACGTAAAATTATATTTTCATTTCCAGACAAACAGATTAAAAAAAAAAAAAGTCTAAATATACCCTGTTTTGAATGCCCTGGTATTTCTTTGTGAAGCACTTTGTGATCTTTGTTTTGGAAGGTGCTATATAGATAAAATTTTACTTACTAAATAGAAAAAAGTTACTGACAAGTCGAGTTTAATTAAAACATAAACACTTGCCTTTTTCCAGCCGATGTTGGCGATAAATCCCTAGAGACAACAGGTGGAATATGCATAAATTGCAATTAAAAAATAAATGTTTAAATAAAATCATTGAATCAGCACACCCAATTGTAAAATATTATATTAGCAGATCATTAAAAACTAAATAAAACCAAAATCACTGGTCCATACTTGTTCAAAGAGTCTGCTGACAATTTTCCTGGGTCACCTTCATTTTGTTCTCTGCTGAAAACATCTTTATATTAGTTTTGTTATTAAGAATAAATCGATTCTGTAATAATTATATGCAAAACAATTAATTTTGCTAACCTTTCATTTTCACTCTTCTCTACCAGTCCCTTTAAGACAGCTTCTAATTTGCTGCGTGCACCAGCCCCGTCTAAGTCTGCAAAAGTAATAATGAAATAATTAATGACAACAACAATACTCACTCGCCACCTGTATTACTTAGCTTTTAAGAATCCTGTATAATCCTGTATAATCCGAACCACTCAAGTTTACAAGCGAATGTACTCCAAAACAATCACAAGAATTTATACCACACAAAAATTTGGAAAATCTGAAACGGAAAAGGAAAGGAAAAATTGACAGCTGCTGGTACCTGGCCTTTCCGTCTTGATCTTGACGTGTTGCATTGTGTCCGCCTTTCTATAAACACCCCGTGGGAACTGACTGACGGACTTTTAAAACCACACTTTTGCTGTTTCGATTATTTAGATTTACAATAACTTATGTTTGATTCCTTGCTAACGGCGCCGTTAGCCAAGCTAGCTGTGTAGTACCGTTTACAAACAGTTAGCTGCATTAGCCGTAACCACTGGTTAACAGTTAAGCTATATAACGTTATTTACGTTTAGCTATTAAAACCATTAAGCAAATAACGGTTATCCCTATCGACTTCCATATAGTTAATAGAAAGATACAGCACAATAGTCGTTTATGATTTATACCAAGGTTTGTGGAGTAATGGCCAAACTACTGTTGCTAACTTAGCTTATTTTTGACAAACGCATACCCTTACTAGACTTTCCTCTTCCGCGCGCTGCCAATTTCCTATTAGCTGATTGGTGCCTGTGCAAACCGGGCCGCCTATATGATTGGTCAAATGTTATATCAATCATTTTTAATTCGTTCCCTATTGGCTGTATGTCGTGTAGTAAATAACGTTCGGGATACACAACAAAAGCTCTCTTCCACTTTCATCGAGAATGTGGTGGGTTTGTAAAATAAACGCGAAGTTACTATGTTTTTAGTCAGAACGTGAAATTTGAATGATAAATAGATGTTCATAGAGCCTAACGGAGAAGCGTAATTTATATTCTTAAAGGGAATTTCTGGCATTTGAAGTAACTTTGTGTGTAGACAAGTAAACTCGGAAGAGTTTAGTAATGGGGGCATCGTCTTTTTGTTAGCTAAGTAACCCACTCAGATTAACACCACAGTCCAGATATGATTTGGGGTGCCCGAGGTAAACCAAGCCCACGTTGAAACTGTGTGTGCTTTCTTGTGGTCGTTGATGTCTCATCGGTCACCTCCAAAGGTTGCTATGAATTCCAGGTGAGGATCTAATGACACATTTTGTAGCACCCTAAACAGAAGAAGTTATAGTTGGTAATATGTGTTCTTCTTACAGTGGACCTGTGCTCACAAAGCAGAATCCCTTCCCACCAGCACCGAAAGTGAGGACGGCACACTACCACCCATCCAGCAACCAACCCCTTTCAAAGAAAGAGAAAAAAACTGTATGTTTTATTTTCAAAAACACTTTAATATACGGCAAGAAAAACAGATTCTCATTGTGATATATATATATGTATATATATATATATCCTTTTGTTCTTCTTGCAGACACTAAGTCCTGTACGTTTAAACCAGCGATCCAGAACAAAATTACATAATCTAAACCAAGAGAGCCAGCAGCTATCTAAGAAGCATGACCGTTTATCCTCCATTGATGGACAACCTGTTCTTAAAGAGTCCCAGGCCTCCACTGTCTTTGAATTCTCTCCTGATAGAAATACTGCCTTATCTGACATGGACGAACCCAAAAAATCTGGAAAAAGGGGGAATTCCAGTGTTTCCCAAGTTCAAGGATGCCAGGAGGATTCTTTGCTGGCAAAGTATGTTTTAATGCCTTCTGTAATTTTCTTAAACAGAACTAAAAAATAGTTTCACAGTGACAATTTTTCATGATTAGATGACAATGTCATAGTGACCCAGATTATTTTTATTTCATTTTGCATGTGACTTCTTTTAACTAAATCTGACCTTTGCTTTGTCAGATATGTAGAGCGTTTTCGCCATGGTCAGCCACAGAGTCGAGAGGAGCGCCATCAGGTGGCCTCTGCCAGTGGAGAAGAGCAGGCACCTTTTTGGTGGATGTCACATTCATCTCTCAGCAGTTCAACACCAACTAAAACAACAGACGAAGGTGCACTATATTTACAGTCATTGGTGTATTTTATTCCCCGTTACCAGCTGCTTAATTCTATCGAATCCTTCTGTGTACTGCATTTCTCTGAAAAGATGTTATCCAACTTCTGAAAGAGGACCAGGATGCTGCTCTTTATGATCCATCTGCACGGCGTGACCATAACAGATCCCCTTCTCCCTACAGAGGATCCAATAGTGTGAGTTGTATTTATAAGCTAAGAAGAAATAAGCCATAATGTATCAATTTTTGTAGCAAATCTGCTTCTGTTTCTTGAAAAAAAACAAAAAAAAACAGATCCATAAGATGGGGGGAAAGGCACCACCAATTATTCAGTTTTTATTGTTTGTGTATGCTGTCACAGTGGATTATAGGGTTTACATTGTCCCTTGATTTACACCACACATGTCCAAAGTGCCTGGGATTCTGATTGTCTGCAGAAGCAACACTTTATTTCGACTAAGTTTGCATATAAACATTTCCATTTCAGCACCCCACTCCATTTGGAAGTCTATGTGTTTATTAAATGCCTGGGAAGTCGCCGTTTATGCAACCAGATTTGACACGTTGTTCAGCCTGCTAAGAACAAATGCATTACCCTTTTAATTAAAATCCTGCAAACGTGTTTATTTATTTGGGAGGATTTATTTACACGGTATTGCAAGTCTTTATATGAAAAAACATGTTTTTTGTTTCCCAGCTTTTGTCCGACACATCACAGGGTGAATTTGATGACAGGGAGATCCTGCACCTTCAAGAAAAGGCCAGCAGACTTCTTCTGAGGGGGTATAAAAACTGTTGAGCAATATTAAAGATAAATGGCTTCAGTTGTAGTAACTTTTTTTTTTCTAACAGTGAATGTTCTGTGAGTGATGGATCTGTCCCTGTCAGCTCAGAGGGGCTGGGATGCTCAGATTTCTCCTCTCCCATCAGTATAGATGAGCCAGTGAAGCAACCTTTGATTCCCAGTTTATTCAAAAATACTACTGGTAGGGGAAGAGTGTGGACTAGAATACCTTTTGTTATTTATAGACAGATTCTATTTTGCGTGCTGCTGTGTTTTAAACTGTGTGTTAACATTTACAGCAAAGGCCAGCTCAGACTCAGCTCATGGTGTGTCCTTCCAAAAATCTGTCATGCCTTCTTTGGTGCCTCCTACCCGTCCAGAGGAAGACATATTGTTCCAGTGGCGTTTAAGGAGGAAAATGGAACAAGCCAGAGAGAGGCCCCTGTCTGTGCAAGCCTCCAGTCCTCATGCATTTGGTTGGCAGTCCATGAGGTTAAGCTATCCCTCCATCAGTGAACAAGCTTACAAGGTTGGAATCAAACTGTTTGTTACATTATCCATATTCTTTGCACAAATTTACAGAATAACATTAATTTGCTCTTCAGGAACAGCAGGGTACCCAACCCCCTCAATTCTCACAAAGAGATACTCATTCACACATCACTGCTGCCCAGCCAGAAACCACTGAGGCCCAGAGGTTCTGTCCCCCAGCTCCAGGCCCTTCGCTATTCCCCACCATCAATGTTTCTGGTTCAGTCCCTCAGCTGCAGAGCATTGCCCATGTTCCTTCCCACATGCATTTTCTCTGTGACGTCTTGCCATGTCCCATCCAGTCATCTCATGCCAAAGTGCACCAGAGCATTTCACAAAGGTTAGACGAGTCAGAAACCAAAGTTCTTCACAAAAAGACCCAAGTCCCTGAAAGCCTTGGAGAATTAACTCTTTGTGAACGCGTGTCACTCACTCTACCTGCGCCATCTGAGAGAGAGTGGCCTGATCACCAAAAAATGTCTGAGAAGAACAAGAAAAAGAAAATGGGGATGAAGCAATCAGAGGTAAATGGGAAGGAGGAAGCAGCACTCGCTAGACAGCAAAAGAAATCAGCAAGGTGAATTATTGAAATATGGGCACTGTTTAAAAGTCTTAGTGATAAAAAAATATGTGTTTGATACCGTTAACATTTTGTGGGATTTATTCTTCACAAACAGGAATTCATTACATCAAAAGCTTCCCAAAAAGGTCACATCATGTAAAGAGCAGCAGCAACCAGAGAGAAGACAGGAGCTTCCCAGTGAAAGCTGTGCTGGTGATCATGAACCACCACCATCTCCTATCCGCAATGCATTAGGACAGGTAAACATGCAAATGTTCAGTGTTATTTCTTTATTTGAAGCCACAGAGGCTGTGTGCATATTTGGTCTTTTCTGGTTTTTCTCTTCTCCCACATTTGTGACATCTCTGCAGTATATTTGATAAAGTGAAAGAAAGCTGTGTGTTTGTTCTCAGACTTTGGCAATTTATGATTGTTTACAAATCTTAATTAATCATTTGTAAAGGCCACTGACAGATCTGGTCTTTAGAAGACTGTATATGAAGTATTTAAATAAAATACACACAAGTTTTTATTGAATATAATTACAGGTCTACCTTCACTATGCATGTCCGCACATCTTTTTTAGATGCCACACTAGTCATAAGGTTCAATGTGATCAAGGTAATTAATATGCATTAACTGGGGTGTTTTCATTTGACCTTAACAGGTAGTTTCAGAGGTACTGTTTCCTACGGTGGATTCCTCTTCTCCAAAAAAGATTCCTGTTTCATCTGATTCTCCTTTCTGCACCGTCTCTGCACCTTCACCACCGCCAATTCCTCCAAGCAATGCCCTGAACTCTATGGAGGTCATTTCACAGCTGCTGCAAGAGGCCGAAGGTAAGCTTATGGTGGCAAAAGGCACCAGTCTTTAGCCCGTAAACGGCTGCGGTGATTACATAAATAGATGCTTTTTCCCATATTTTAACTTTTTAGTTCAAAAACCCTACAACAGTTTTTTTTGTTGGTGTTTCTTTTTTTTTGTGTGTGTTATGGGAATTAACATAGAAAAAAACCTGTTATCTCAATCCTTTTTTAAGGATAAGCTTATAATATTGTAGTATCTGTCCTCTCACTCAGATTAAACTTTTTGTTTTAGATTCAGATGAAAAAGAGTTTGGAGATGATCCTCTGTTACAAGTTCTTCGCAAACAGAGAAAATGGGTGAAGGAGCAGATCAGGTAAAACTGAATTAGATTATCACCATTACTGTAATGATTAGAATCCTTTCCTGTTTATATTTCTAGCATTAATTTTTTCTTATAATCTATTGGAATCAATTGACAGTCATGTAAAGAGTCGATTGCCAGAAAAAGAATAATTTTTTTTTTATGTTGTTGTTGTTGTTTTGTTTGTTTGTTTTTTGTTAGTGAGGTGGACTCCATCTTAAATGAATTTGTGGAAGAGCAACAAGTTACTTGAAGAACATCAAGAGACAGTTTGTGTAGTCACATTTATTTATTTTTTATTTTATAAAGAAATAAAGTTAATTTATATTTTTGAGGACATTTTTCTACAATAAAGGTTGGAGATGTGTCTCGGTGGATTATTATTCACAACACTGTGCATGTACAAAAGTTGCACACAAAAAGCAGGAGTTGGAAATGCTAACAGAATATTTACAAAGTAGAGTGGTTACTTGAAACATTATGTAACATTGAGTATTAGCAGAGCAGTATATACAAACCTTGGAGTGCAGGGAACATTAGAACTGTGCCAGGAACAGAGCAGATGTGTGCTTTGGCACATACCAAGTTCTGCTGCGAGTGCAGGAGCTTGAAGTTATTGCCATTTTTGTCAGTGTGACCATAAAGGCTTCCGCTGATTTATTTTTGTGTACGGTAAGGATGGCAGAGGTTTTAGTGTCGTCTGTTAATGCAATTTAAGTAAGAGGTGTGTAGCTCTGAGTGTGCAGCATAGGTGCAGATATGATAAGGATCCCATCTGGAGAGACCGCTGACTCCAAAGCCATGGTGTCCACTCCCTTTGGAATGCGGTAGCGACGGTTAAACTGTCGTGTTGTAAATCCAGGACCGTCCTTCTAACACAAAAGAGATGAGAAGTGAGATGTGTAGCACAAAAATGGAGAAAAAATATCCATGTACCTCAGCATACCAACCTTTCTCTCTTCATGCTTTCCTTGCACTTCTACAAAGTCTCCTATGACTTTGACGATCAGGTCCTCTGGGTTGAAATGTTTCACATCAACTTGAACTGTAAATCCGCTGTCATCACAGGTTACCTAACAACAGGAGTCAACACTTCTGCATGATTAAACAAGACATAAAGTTCCTTACAGCAGCCTGCACTCAGTAGATATCCTTAACCATATTTCAGTGTGGGGAAACTGAAAACAGCTTTTCAATAAGACGTGGATCTGACTGAAAGCTCAGAAAAATGTAAAGGACTCCTTTTTTTCCTTTTACTTTAAGCCAGGGGTTGTCAAACATGTCCAGGGGCCAGAATTGGCCTGACAAAGACTCCAGTCTGATCCACTGAACTTCTTTTGAAAATGTGGAGGGGACACTTTTTTTGTGTACTTTTACCTGTATTTTTGGTGGTTTAACAGCTTTTACTCCTGATAAATACCTCCCCCATGGCCATTATTTCTCCACTAAAGTATTAAAAATAGATAAATCTATGAATAAGCAAAAAGTGTTACTATTACAGGACAGTCTGTGCAATGAGCAACCAGGACTCTTTCTGTAATTTTACACATTAAATTTTTACAATTTAAGAGCCTTGATGACAGATGTCTTACATTTACTACAGCAGGATTTCTTCATCAGATGTATTGTTTAAATTCTTTTTTTTTCTTATACTAAGATAAATCAGGGATATCTGCTGGTTAAACCTCTTTACATTGACAGAAAGGGGAGTTTCAAAGGTTTTACACCACAGCCTGACCTTAAGTGGGTATGTGGTTCACCGTGTAAAATGAGTTAAAATGAGAACCATGGACAATTTATACTAACATATGTTAGTATAAAATGTAAATAAATTAAGTGACCTACCTCTGCAGAGCTGGCATTATCAGTCTCTGGAATGATTAATTTTGGGGACCAATTATATTGTCCATAAGTCCCGTTGAGCCGTGGAATAAGAGGTGGTAAAACCTTCTCCCAGGGGATACCACCAGCTGGCATAGTGGGTGGCAGGATGAAGTCCATTTCTAGTAGGCACAAAGTTTGAAAAATCAAGAGCTGACTAAACAGCAGTTAAGCCTACAGCACCCGAGGCTACAAGACATAAAGCACTGAGCAGTTACCTTTGCTTAAATTCTGTGGAGTGGAAAGAAGAGCTCTAGTTACAGCGCTTGTGTTCTCTGTGCTTCTCTCCTCTCTCGGCTCCTGGATGAGACTGACTTGTTGCGTGCCGCGTGTTTTATAGTGGAGTTGCATAATAAGTTGGGAATTCATCCTGGGACACCTTGCTTCTGTTATGTTCTGGACTGCGTACCCTTGGGTGTTCCGGCATGGTCACAGATAAACGTGTAGGCCTATTATTTTGAGAGTGACACAGCTGTTGCAGGCTTATTGTTAATTAACGTTGTTATTGGCCATTATCAAAGTTACAGCATGCAGCCTTTTTACACGGTCAGTGGCACCAATGCGGACTATTCATGTGTAATTATCAAAGCTGTTAAGAGCTGTATGCCTAAGGTTGGTTGTCAAGGAAGGTTTGTCCAAAAATAAATTCAAAAGACGACGTTAACCCTTGTTGGTTGACACCAGACGGACAGTGACAGCAGGGGCGTGCTAAACACATGCTACAGCACGTGTACTACCAGTAAACCACTGTCCTTCCCCATAGTTATGAGGTTTTTTTAGACCTTTAGCAATATAATGTAGACATCATAAAATACATTAAGATTGCATATTACTCGAGTTTTGGCTTATTTTTATTGACTGCCAGTAAAATTTTAGATTTCACTTTAACATTTTCGTTTTAACTTAACTTTTAGCTCTACATAGTCAGTTCCCCGGTATATCTCTGACCTGTTGAAAGCTCGTTCTTCTTCCCAAACACTTAGGTCTTCAGGTCAGAGGTTGCTGTAGGTCACATGTACTAGTTTCAAAATTCGTGGTGATCGGGCTTTGCAGGCAGTGGCACAGAGGTTGTGGGATTCTCTTCCACCGTCTGTACAGACTCCACTGACTCTTTTAAAAAGCAGCTGAAGACATTTCTATACAGACAATCTTTTAATGAACTTGTTGCTTTATGTTTTCATTTTATTGTTTTATATTATTATTTTATTTTTATTTCTGTTTTTTTAAATGTGAAACCATTTTTACCTGTGAAAAGTGCTGAATAAATACATTTTACCTACTTACTAGTTCTTTTCAACCACTTCAGTCCTCATACATCAGATTTAATGAGTCAGTTTTATAAATGGACTGCCTGCTTTACTTAGTCTACCCTCTGTGTTAATGCTTTTTGTTTTTAGTGCAGTTCAGTGAAGCCAACTGTCATATATGGTTGCCGCGTTTCCCCGTTAGCAGTGTCATTTAAGCTTGGACTGTGACTAAAATTGGCTCTCAATGTTATGACTCATAAAGGATGACAGGGAAGTGGAGACATTTGGAGGGCTTAACTTATTGGATTTCACAACAGGCGCCAGTGGTCGTCTGGGCTTTGGGAGATTTGGCATATGTGACAATGAGAGGTATATACATTCTATAAGGAGACAAAACAGTTCACTGATCACATATGATACACATACAGGTTTGTGCATTCAGTGGTATAACAATATTCTAACAACTTCCAAATTCAACTGAGTAAGATTGTAACTTGGCAGCATTGTGGACACTTTTTATTTATTCACACAGAAGTAAAAATAGTGCACAATCATACCATACCACAATAAACAGTTCAAAGACAAAAATAACAAAAACATTAGTGAGTTGTTCATTATCTTATCATTACAAAATTTCCATGATCAGAAACATCAGAAAGATGAATTACCCTTCTCTAAAGCCAAATAACTTACTCAAATGTCTTGGTGAGCACAGAAATGGTTTTGGGTCCTACATTGTTTATCTCTTGAAGATAGGTAACATTTACTCTTCCATTTAGTTGGATTTAGTTGACCAAAAACCAGGAAAACAACTGCCAAAAATCATTCACTGTTGTTCAGGGAGAAAAAAATTTTGGCCCATTACAGTGGATCATTAGTTTTACTGAGAAGACTAATCAGTTGAAATGAGGGGGGGGGAAAAAACAACCTCAAGGGATACCTAGGGGAATGGTAAAGGAGAGGTAATCTCCCACCTCCCCCCACTCTGCTCTGAAGTGCTGGTATATGGTGATCCACGTGGTGAGCACTGCTACCCATAACAGTAACCCTAGTGCCGAACGCTTCACATCTAGACAGAAAAACAAGCAATAAAATTAGTTACTGTCCAACAGTGGTCAAAACAACACAGTACAGTATCAAGTTGGCTGCTTAAAGCATTGCTTTAAAAACAAACAATACATACATGGTTATAGGGCAGTGGTTTTTTTTAAAAAAAGTGGGTAAAACCTTTCTCAAGTTCTTATCAGAAAATCAGAATTTAAGCCCAAATTATTCTATACAAGGCCACATTATCATAAGAATTATATTTGTATAAATATAGCAAAAGTACTTACTATATTATTAAAAACTAATTTATTTTTAAAATCCTTTTTTCCCCTTTTAGGTAAGAGATCATGTATATTGATGAATACAACTTCTGTAAAAAGAAAACAACCAGATCTAAAAAGTTACCTGGTCAACTTTTCCTACAAAAACAAACTATTTCATTTTCTCAAGCATTATGAAAAGTGCAGTATTACCCAAAACTCTTTAAATAGGATGAAGACACACTTGGTAATGTGCAAGCATGTAAAATGAACATGGAATTCACACTGACAACCTTTGTCAATATCATATGTCATGACTGAATGTTTATTGAGGAAACAAATTGAATCCTACAAGAGTGACATCCAAAGAACAGCTACTGACAAAAAACTACAAGACTGAATACAGAGTGCAAAACTGAATACTAAATACATTTTTAAAAGGTTCTGAAACTCACATGCTTTTATCTGTAGCTGTTCAGTGTAGGCTGGCTTTAAGAAGGCCTCCCGAAAAAACCAAACAACATTGACAAGCCACAGGAAGGGAAGAAACGCAAAGCCACCTGGAGAAATAAATAAAAATATTTGACAGAACTAATCATTTACTAACCACTGAAATATTTTTAGGCGCATTAGTTCAAAATTTCGCCTTAACTGAAAAAAAAGACTCACAGCCAGTGTAACTAACCTAGAATATACAAAACAGGAATAGGAAGTACAACTGTATAAAAAAGGAACATGAGGATTAATATTAATACTCTCACCTAGATAATATTTTCGGCAAAGGCTGAGCTTCTCCTCATTGGGCAGTCGCTCCAGGTTCATAGTGATATTGTACGTTCCTGCACACAGAAAGAAAACAAAACAGATTACAGTGCTGGACTAGCTCTGTCCAGCATCCAAAAAGAATATATATTTTTTTTTTTACAAATAAAGGAATGCTTGTTATACAGACATTTAAAACACGCTCTTCCGCTGATTCTGAGACGATAATAAATCCGCTTTTTACTGCTTGACCGCTGAGCTAGCTCCTCAGATGACTGAAAAATTCACCTCAGGCTAAAGTTAGCAATCGTTAGCTTAGCAACGTAACAAAAAGGCGTTACAAAATCGCTTGCTGTAAGTTTCCAGACTAACTCTCCAGATTGGGTAAATGTCGTTATAGAGTGTATCCAAAATTATGAATATCGTACATTAAGGTAATAATGTAATATCTTACCTTATCGTTTCACAGCCAAAAGTTAAAGAAAAACAAAACAATCAACACTTCCTCCTCCTTCTTCTTCACAAGCGCTAGCTTCTTCTTCTTCGAAGGCTAACGCCAAGACTGAGGTGTTTCAGCGCCACCTACTAGGCTGTGCATCAGATTACAGATTCTGCAATCACAGAATTTGAGACTGCTCCCATCCCACAAAGAACCTGTCGACCGTAAAAAAACATTTTCTACGGTCACTGGTACACCTTCTATTATTATTATTATTATTATTATTATTATTATTATTATTATTACTATTATTATTATTTCTCTACATTTTATTTACTAGTCCCGTGTCCCTTTAAAAAAAACAACTCAGAGTACTGCAGTGCCACTATTAGTACCCCTTGCAGTAAACTGAGAAATGAACAGGCGCTCAATTCAGAGTATCTGTTCCAGTGTATCCTTTTCTTGACATTTTCCAATTTGCCCTGCATTATGTTTTCTTTATTCTGAGCACTGTTGGTGCTTTTGCTCCCATTTAAAAAGTGCCACCTCTACACTGTCCTGTTTAAGTGACTAGTTTAGCCCCAGTGTCTGCCATTTCAGAAAAATAACACTGACAATCCTTTTCTTCAAAATATAAGTATAAAATTGAAATAGAAAAAGAGAGAAAGTATAAGATATTAAGAAGAGAAAATAGATACTCAAATACAAATTTATCGTAGAAACAAAATTGGGCTGATGTCAAAATAAGTAAAAAAATGATCAAATAATGCAATTCATTTTACAGCCTTCTTATCATTTGCAAGTTTTAACAACTTACTCAAGAGTTTAATTTCATTCAGCTCTCTGTTTGTGCATGGGTTGGATGTAAAATACCTACTTTTGGAAATAGTAATACAAAATAAAAAACAAAAAAATATAGCCCTGATAACGGAACTAACCAACTTTTACCCTTTTTTAAAAACGCTGATGTTACCTGAATATTTGCATAATATATATTATTATTATTATATTATTATATTATATTTCTTACCCTGATCAACCAGGTCCTCTTATATATGGCATGATCTGCAACTCCGTTAATTAATTCCTAATTAACAATAAATAAACTAAGTGAATGAAGGTTTAAACACCTTCATCGTTAGCCTTTCATTATCGCAATAAGGATTCATACTGCCACCTAGTGTTTGACTATGTGTATAGTCAAGAATGCTGGTAGATGTAACGCATTTAATTATCAAAACATTCATTCAGTTATGCAGCCTTAACGCAGTTCTCCTTCAATTAAATTTCATTTCAGTGCTACCTCTGTCAATACTGTTAAATGGAGCGATTAAAAAAAGACGGTCACTGCTCTAATAAATGAACACGAAACTCACAATATTGTGCTAATTCTTATCCCTACTTTTATTTTTTCATGTCTATTTAAGTGCTATTTATGACACTATTTAAGTGCTATTTATGACACTATTTAAGTGCTATTTATGACACTATGTTTGCACTGAAGCACCGCAGCAATTTTCTAATGTTGTAAACCTGCTCAACATTTGGCAATAAACCCCTTTCTGATTCTGATTCTGATTCTAAGTTGCCATCTCTGCTTTGAAGATGATCTTGAACGCTGTTAGGTTCCATTTAATTATCCCAATTGTCTTCAAACGCAAAAAGACACAACATTTGACCATTTTTTGAGATTTAATTATTTTT